AACTTAAGATACACATATTTGAATTCTGGGTCCTGGAAGTTGTGCTCCAAATGTTTCCTCAAACAAGTCACCAGTAGGCAGTCTGGCAAGAAATTACATGTGTGAAAACTATCCACATAACTAAAAGCTGCAGAATTAGAACCATAATTTCCATTTCCATAAGATGTGTAATACATTATGCATCTGTTGGAAGTAGACCAGTTCCAGGTGTTAATACTATCTGTAACCTAGTTTTTTCATCTGCCTAATTTGTTGGAATATCATTTTGTATGAAGTTAGCTGGGTTTTTTTTTATTTTTCTTTTTAGTCAATAGACAGATTTTCTCAGATTTTCTCTTTTTTTCTGAAATCACTCATAAAGATATAGAATATTTAAGTACAAGTGAGATAAGCTCTGCATTATAGCAGAATATATTGAAGAAAAAAATCATCTAAGTTGGAGATGAAGAAACATGCTCTATAGATAACCTTCCATCTAATTTGCCTTTAACAATAGTTCTATATTCATGTGAGCTACCTCCAGCAGGTCAGCTATAGCTTTGAGGGGGCAAATACACACACTCAAAGAGCTGATCTTTTGCCTTTTTTAGCAGGGAACTGGAAGGCGACAAAACATCCCTTTGCATCCTTTATCTTTGCTCACAAAGTTTCTGAGTGTTCATTCTCAGATCCTCCTGCAACCTCCAGTCCTGTGTCAGTTGAAGACTCACACCCTCCTGCAATTTCACATGAGATGATTTCAGCTTTGTGAATGAATACTGAACTACTCTTGCTAAGACAATTCTGAAAGGAAGTCAAAGAAACTGCCAGCAATAGGGTGAATCTGGTGACCCTCAGGTAAGGAATGGCACCTGCTTAACGGATGACTTAAATACTCCAGAACTGTGCGGGAAAATGCAGCAAATTGAGTAGGGAAGAAGTTTAACTTAGCTGCACTTGGCTGTCTTTGGCCCAAAGAACTGCTCTAGATGCTGAGCTCAGTCTTGAACAGAGCTGTAACCCCAGCCCTGGCATGCTCTGGGTGTCTGAGCCACAGCACTGTGCCAGCCACACATCCCATTTCTACTCCCCTGCAAGAACGCCTACAGAACCAGACCCATGAGGCAGATGCCAATGAAACCACAGGAAGCCACCAGGCTGATCAGGAGAATAAAGCATGTCTGCTATGAGGAAAGGCTGAGAGAAATGGGATTGTTCAGCCTGGAGATGAGAAACTTCAGGGTGACTTAATTGTGCCCTTCTAGTGCCTGAAGGGAGCCTGCAAGAAAGATGAAAAACAATTTACAAGAGCCTGGAGTGACAAGGGGGAATGGCTTCACACTGAGAGAGAGCAGGTTTAGACAGGATATTGGGAAGAAATCGTTCCCTGTGAGGGCGATGAGGCACTGAACAGCTTGTCCAGAGAAGCTGTGGCTGCCCCTGGAAGTATCTAAGTCCAGGTTGGACACTGGGGCTTGGCACAACCTGGGATAGTGGAAGGTGTCCCTGCCCACTACAGAAGGGGAAACCAAGTGATCTTAAAGGTCTTTTCCAACCCAGACCATTCTATGATCCTATTCTTTGTTTGCTAGGGTATCCCTGCTTTCCATACTAGCACTTGTGAGCCTTTAGACTGTCCAAGATAAAAAAGACCCAAACAAATATTCCAGTTAGATACTTAAGATAACACTATAATCCTTGCTATTCTCTGGTATCAGGTTTCCCTACATATGTTCTGGAACTATGTTCCAGGGCTACCAGACATCACATTTTTGCCATAGTAAGACAGTTTTGTATATGTGTTGGTATTATATCTGATTTGAAAGTGACACCATTCATTATTGGTACATGAGTACTTTCTACTTAAAATGCCTTTATGCTGAAATGATTTGACATAATGGCCCCTAAATCTTTTTGATCAACCATCAAGCTCATTGGATGTTAAATCTTGAAAAACCTCAGCAGTTTATTAATATTTCACCAGTAAATCAGCTTTTAGACAAAGCACATTCCTAACAAGATGTATGCTTAACACAGTGAAATAGTTAATGGCACAAAGAGTGCAAAAGGCAAACAAATATCAAGATGAATGTCATGATTTGAGATTCAAAGTCTAAATAACAAATTAATGAACTTTGTGCTTCAACTGCCTAAGGTGGTAATTACTGATGAGCAAAATAGATTAAATTAGTGAGAAAAGGGGCTGCTCAGGTTACAAGATATCATTGGTTTTGCTTGTGTATTTGGTGATAAGGGAAGGAGAGGAAGGCAGTCCTGTCTGTTTGGCCATTCATTTTAGCAGCATCAGCTGCCTTGGCTGACCTGCTTTGCCCACTGCAGCCTAGCACCAGGGTGAGCTTACGGCTCAGCTGTGTCTGGGCACACCTCAAGGTCATTTTTGGGTTTGTCAATTGACTTGATCCAGCATCCCACTGCTTCAGTTGCTTCTAAACTTCATTTCAGTTCCACTGACACACATCTCACATGCATCAAGTGCAAGCTCAAATATAAAATCAGATTGAGAGATTTGTCAGAAGCATGTACAGGTATGTGGGTATTTGCCAAATGCAATCTGGCAAGAGAAGGGTTATGGATAGGAGAAGGGTTTTCTGTGTTACATGCAAAATACCATTCTTGCAAAACTTCTCAACCAGTGTCATCAGCTTTTTTCTGCTTAAATTTCTTACAAATTAAAGAAAATTGACGTATCAAAATCAATTAACAAAATAAAACATTTCCTAAAGGTTCAAGGTTTTGTTACCTTGCTGAATATTTTTTCTTCTGGTAACAAGGTACTTATAAACCTCAAAACAGAAGAGCTCTGTAATAATTAACTAAAACTCTGCATCCTCTTGCCATTTGGAATGTACTAGAACAAATTCAAACAACTTGGCAACTGTCACGTTTAACTACAGCCCTAGAATGACTTTTGCTGTCTGCATGGCTTGGTGGAATTGAGATAAGGAGATTTCTGTGAGGCCAGCTGGCGGGTCAGCAGCGGTATTACGAACACAAATCCGAGTTCTTGGCTCCTGACCCCGTGCTGACTCCCGGGGCTGTAACTACAGACCCTTCAGCTGTGCTCAGGCTGTGGGCTCCGAGGAGGCTCCTCGACATGTACACCTCGTGGTGCTGTAAATACACCCCGCGCCGCGCGCCCTCAGCAAGCGCCAGCTTCCCCAAGCCACTTAAAGCCATCGCCTCATTTCTCCCGGCCATCGCTGCCTTATACCCTTCGTATCTCCTTAAGCTTTCGCCCCGAGGACACCCGCTACTTACCGGCTTAGGGCAGAGGGGGGCTGAGGCATCGCGGCGCTGTCCCGCCTCCTGCGGCCCGCCCCGCCGCCGTCCCGCCCCGCTCCTGCAGTGG